TAAATAAATGATTATTAATTATGAATATATTATAGAATTAAACGAATCAAGAAAGTCAAATATTACGAACATAATATCAGATATTATGTGTTTAGTATTCTTTTCTGGTTCCTGAGTTTGGATAAGTTTACCAGTTTGAATATCCCATACTCTAATAACTCCTGCAATATAATGGGTATATTGACATGAATTATAAATATTCATATTTTAATTTTAACTAAAAGGTGATAACAATGACAATTGACAAACCCTTATCACCACCAGTATAAAATAACTCTCCTTCAAAATCTTCATCCATATTATTTATTGTTGTGTGGGGCTGCAAAACCCCTAATGTTTCTATTGTCTAAATTAAAATAACATTACATTACTTTCTTGAATTACATAAATATGTTCTGGAAAATAATCAAGAAATATACCTCAAAGATTGGAAATGTTTTTAATAATGTCTTTTTATCAAAATCCCATATATTTACAACCTTGTCTCTAGAACCACTAATAAGGAACCGTCCATCATTCGACATATCTAGTCCACGAATAATACTAACGTGACTCTTTAACACAGCAACACACCTAGAATGTTTTTATCAGAATTAAACACCTACAATCAATTCAACAAATTGTACCAGTTGTCATAATTTAACCTACTTTCGATCCTGTAAGTCCCAAACACGTATATTACAATCATCTGCTCCAGAAATCAAAGTCCATTGATTATTTTTTAAATGAAATTTGAGTGCACTAATTATACCTCCATGTCCTCGAAAGTTGTGTGTGCAGAAACCACCTTCAATATCCCAAACTTTAACAGTGCTATCAGCAGATCCTGTAGCGACTAAAGAAGAAGTAGGATCTATATCCATTACTATTATTGGAGCCTCATGAGCCTGATGGTTTAATTGAAAAAAAAAATGGTAAAGAAAAGAAGCCCAAAAATAGAAATTTAATAATTGAAAAACTAATCATTTTAATCACGTGCATAGCATATATGTATTACGAATTCTTTTAATTGGTACCATTAGTCTACCGCATATATGTTAATTGTATGTTCGCGAAACGATTTCGCGAAACGATTTTGAGAAACGATTTTGAGAAACGATTTTCGCGAAACGATTTTATAAAAAAACATCAAATTTAATTAAATTAAAAAGTTTCACCTATTAAATAAAGTCAATAGTTTAACAAACGACTTCTTTCGTAATCTGTGATAGATAACAATCATGTTGTGATACCTTAAATTGATGACCGGCTAATTATTGAATTACGTGAATAAACTTGGCAATAAATTTTTGTAATAAAGCTTGGTAATAAAATTGGTAAATGGTAAACAAGTTTGATAAAGTGGTAAAGAGAGATGAAATTATTAAATTCCTGCGCATTGAATATATTACTATAGTTGAAAACGACTATAGTTGAAAACACATTAGCATAATATATTACTATAGTTTGAAAACGCATTAGCATAATAATTTATTATTTCACTCTTAAAAATTTATTATACTTTAATATTGTAGTATAGTATAATACAATACATAAAATAGAACACATAGATAATAATAAATTGGTGTTATGCACGAATGAACAGACCTCTTTCGGTAAATATTCGTATGTTAGTAAATTTTTATTTACTATTGATTATTCACTATTGATTATTGACTATATGCGCGTATCAATTAGTTTGTTTACACATCAATAAACGGATCTTACGATCAAATACAAAGGTATAACAAGAAACTAAAAAAAAATTTACCCTGTCAATATTTTTTTTTTAAAATAAAGATGTAACAAAATAAAACGGCATCAAACACGGACTTACACCAATCATGAAATGTTTGCAGTTTCAGGAACGTCAAAAAAAAAAAAAAAAGGGTAATACATAGTCAAGTTACAGTGTGTGTTTACACTTTTTTTTTGTTATTACACATTAAGAAGAAACAAGAGCACAATTACGCAATTACATATGTACAGTACGTACGTACGCACGTATGTACAGTACGTATATGAGAGACTATTTTCATGTACATACTTTATTCTATTTACATATTTTATTATATTTAACATGCTTTATTTACTGAATTTTTTTTTTTTCGAGTATTTGTGCTTCTTTAGTTTTGTAAATAATAACGACCCTTTTTTATCGCATCATCTGGCATGCAAAAATTGATTTATTCAACATTGACCCCTGCATTAATTTACAAAACCATTCAATTGAGAGAATTGAAAAATCATTGAAATACTGTAATTGAGAGAAACAATTTTAGCATTCATTTTATTAATTAATTAATTTAATTCATAGATCTGATTCAAAAAAACGCACTCAATTACTTACTTGACAGCTTGACTATTTACATTGGAGAAGATAAATTGCAATCAACTATACAGTATAACTATATATTGCTAGATGAAACATATGAATAATATGAAATATACAACTATATATTTTTGTGGATTACATGTGAATTTATTCTTATTCACGAAAAAAGAATAATAAACCTTTTTTTACAATTTCATTGAAATCAAAATTTATAAACACAAACACATTACTTATTCCAAACTTTTTCCGTTTCGTTCATTACCATGTTCACATGATTAACAACCCATTTACTTTAACCTTCACCAATTTTTCATTAATGAATCTACTTACTTAAATTAGCCTTAAATGGTTCATCTACGCTAAGCTGTAAAAAAATAACTTTTAAAAAATTTCGTTAAGATTTTGGTTATCAACTTGATATCTGATATTATATGATAGTACCGCAGTATTTATTTACCGTTACGTATGGCTGTATTGATTTTTTTTATCTATTTATATTAATCGCTATTAATCGTTATTTATACTTATTTATTTATTTATTTACTTGTACGTACGTTTTTTTTTTTTTAAAAAAAAAAAATTAGATATATGATATACATAAATGTATTTGAGTTTATGCGTGTCAAAACACTATTTTTCACTCCTCGAAATAGAATTAAGGTAATGATTTTCAATATACTTTTTGGATAGGAAAACTCATCTTCAAATATTGTATCACTTATCTGTCATGCAGTTATATCACTTTAAACCTTTGTCATTATTCACATTTTTTACTTACGTATTATCACCAATAAAATTCAATTTATTAAAATTTTCAAATAATTTACGCGTAGAAATGTAGAATAGTGTAGTTAGTGTAGAATAGTGTAGATAAAAAAGTATTATCAATATTATTATTATTATTATTATTATTATTAT